CAGTTCAGATTTGAATTTAGAGATTGAGAGTTTGGAGTCGCGGAGATGTTCTGGTAATTCATTGAAAATTCTTGGGGTTCTGCAGTAGAAACTGTTCTGAAAGGTTGTCGTGTTTGCTTTATGTATATTAAACGTGGTGTAACGACCTGTGGTGTCTGATCGTCTTGTGATGCGTTCTGATTGTTTAGTGCAGATGTTGGGGTCACCTTGTGAATGTTGGAATAGGTACATGATGTCCAGATACTCGTGCCAGTAGGTTAGGGGCAGCAGACCGATCTTCAAAAGCCTGTCCTTGTACGTAATATTGGTCCGGAATGGCAGTGATAATATGAATTTGGTAGCTCGACGCTGAACTTTCTCAAGTTGTTGTATTAGGGTGACTGTTTGCGGAGCCCAAACTTCAGACGCGTAGGCGAAATGGCTACGTACAAGACTGGTGTAGAGTGCCTTACGCACGCGTACATCATGCATACCATGGCAAGACCTTTTCACGAATCCTAACATCTTGTTGGCTTTGCTCGACACAACAGACACATGATCATTCCACTTGAGGCTGTGCTGGACGAGAATTCCGAGATCTTTCTGGGTGGTTACGTTCCTAACTGCTGTCCCCATTAGACTGTAGGACGAATCAATCGGGTTTAAGTTCCTTGTGATGCGAAGGTGACTGCATTTCCCCCCGTTTAAATCCATTCTCCAAACATCACACCATTCACAAATGTTGTCGAGATCAGTTTGGAGATCATGCACGTCCTTGTGATGTTCGATGGTGTGGAAACACTTTGTGTCATCCGCAAACATTGCCGAAGATGAAGACGTGGCAACGTTGGGAAGGTCATTCACGTAAATGAGGAACAACAGTGGTCCAAGGATCGATCCTTGTGGACACAGCGTTCGAGAACTTTTGAAACAATTGGCAACAAGGATATGGGGCGATAGTTGGTGACTGATTTTCTGGATCCTCCTTTGGGAATTGGCACGATGTTTGATAGTTTCCAGGCAGTTGGAAATTCTCCCAAAGAGACGGATTTGTTAAACAAGTGGCACAAAGAAGGAGCGATATGTGGCGCACATGCACACAGTAGTAACGCTGGGATTTTATCAGGACCGGTGGCTTTCTCGATGTCAAGAGAAGTTAGTATTCTATGCACTTCTTGCGGAGTGAAACGGATGTTATCTAACGGCTCGCATAATAATGTATCATCAAGAGAATGAGGATGTTGTTCGTATTCTTCGTCAGTCAATGGTGGTTTAAACATAGAGTAGAAGTAGTTATTCAGAAGATCAGCGATGTCCTTGGGGTTTTCAGCAGTAGCTGTAGCATTGTCATTTGTCCACTCAAGTTTATTTGGAGCAGTGGATGTATTGGAAACTGTTTTGAATACTGACCAAAATTGTTTAGGGTTGGATCTCAATAAATTGGGCAAAGTCTGGAAAAATTCATTGCGCTTACGTGAGATTAATTGCTTAACTAGACGACGGAGTGCACGGTATTTCTCTAGATGACAAGTTCTCCCGCTTGATTTTGCTTTTCTTCTGGCCGTTTCTTTCTTTTTCAATAGATGTCTCACCTCGCTGTCAAACCACGGTGGAGTATTGCGCCTTCTGATTGTTTTAGTTGGTATATGGCGGGAAACTGTTTCTAAAAATCGTGCGCTCCAGTGTTGCCAAGTGACGTCAACGTCAATCATATTGGCAGTTGTGCTAGTGTCGACTGCAAACTGTGTATCAACGGTTACGCCACTGTCGTCAGCAAAACCGAGTTGCGCAAGCTCTTGAAACAAACCGTCCCAATTGGCCAAACGATAATTAAAAACAGTTCGATTATCACAAAATAACGATCTTGGATTTAAACAGATGTCGAAGAAAACCAAATCATGATCACTAAAGAGATTCAATTCTCTCGCCGCGACCTTTGATATGTCAGACACAGTTTCAGGACACTTGGTAAAAATTAGATCAATGAGATTGTTCATCCTTGTTGGAAACAAATTCACTTGTTGGAGATAAAGATCCCACATAAGTTCACGAAAATCATTAGAATTAGCCGAGACATTTCCATAACTGTTAGATTTGATATGAGAGTCCCATGTCAGATCTGGAAAGTTAAAATCTCCAGTAATAAATGCTCTGTCATAGTTCTCTGTAACTTGTAAGAACGACGAAAACAAGTCAAGCCATTCGTGAGCGTCACAGTTAGGTGGACGATAGCAGACTGAAACAAGGCTCTTTCTTGAATCATTTTCCACTATTTCAATCGCAATGATTTCCAATCTCTCGCACCATTGTCCTAATGTTATTCTGTTGTAAGTAATATCGCTGCGAAGTGCTAGTAAGACCCCACCGCCACGTTTAAACGACGCACGATCTTTTCGCAGAATATCGTACCCGTGCGGAAGTATTTCTTTATCAGCAATACTGTCTTTAAGCCATGTTTCGGTAACAGCCACAATGTCCAGGTTTTCCGCGTACACCATGTTTTGGAAAGAAGATAAATTGCTTACTAGTGTTCCGTCCACATGCTTGTTAATGCTACACAGACTGCGTGCATTAAATAACAAACATCGTTTCTTTTCGATGTAAGGTTTTGACGCCGTAATTGGACCAGGATTAGTGTGAACATCGCCAGATAATTGCAACAGTAAAGTAGCAAAAAACGCATGTAGCAGTAAACGAGTACCTTTGATAATGATCGTTTGGTTCGTTAACGGTCGCGTTTTGACCGTTGATCTTCGCCGTTTACCATAACACTTGATTGTCACAATATTGGCTTCTATTGTGGTTAATAAAACTGTTGAATTACATGATAAAGACTTACGGAAATATGTGTAAGTTGATAGGTTGCCAAGAATAAGATAAAAATACAGAACATGACAAAGTCTACGAGAGCTGAAAATGCCATGACCAACCGCCATGATATGGCGTGAGTGAGGCCAAATTAAGTTGCTTTAATTTGAAATTTTTTCTCGTACTTCCAGGAAAATTATATAAGATACAGCCATTATAATATAGCAACTCCTTAGCTCCATGGTGTAGCTCCATTAGTCGTCTCAATAGTTTGGTTTATTACCAGCTATTCAATTATAACCGCAACTACGTAATACAGTGCGAACCAAGACATTGGTTCTGTAAGAAATACATTATAAGCGGTCGTGTATACGTCAGCGATGGCTGGGGTATGGCATTGCCCATGTGTATATTATGCTGACGAGTCTCACAAGAATCAAAGTCAACAAGATGTCTGCAGAGAAGCGTGCTAAAATTAATGTGGCTTTATGTCAGTGGTAAAGAGTTGTTCAATCCAATGTCGTGTATCTGAAGACGTTGAGCTGATTTGCATTACGTAAATCGAATTTCTAAAGATATATTTATTTCAAAAACATAATATTTATGCTCGACAACACCCAACCTTTATAGTTGCTTGGCACTCGCCGGCATTTGAAGAAGATTGAGATTAAATCTGTGCGAATAAAAGACGTAAATATTAAACCTATAGTGAATATTGCTTGGAATTTTAGTACCTGGTTTCACAAACACATGTTGATAGATATTCACTTCAGGAGGGTTTAGAGCAATGTCTAAATAAGCAAAAAATTAGGACATCAACAATTAATCAGTGTTTTCAACTGATATAAGGATAAAATATATCATATATTCCTCTATACGTGTTCAATGGGTTTTTAAAATGATTATTGATTATATGTTATTGCGGGAGGACAGACAATTATACTTCAGTTTCAAATGTATATTATGAAACAGAGAGCTATAACAGTATTCAATAAATTTGTGTATAATGGAACGACGTCTTTTTTAATTTTTTCTAGTTGTACCACATTCTCAAAACAATTTTGCTCATCAGTAAAGGCCCTGTTACACGGTGCAATTTTTCTTGCAACTTGCAATGCAATTCTACTTTTGAGAGATGTATATTTGGGAACAGCGAAACTTTTGTGTTTATTACACTTCAAGCACTTTTGTTCTGCAAGACTCTTCACTAATTTCCATCTCTTAGAAGTAAAATTGCATTGCGAAGAAAAATTGCACAGTGTAACAGGGCCCTAAGTGCAATCATATTGCCAGGACATTCTCAATCCTTTTTATCCCAGCAAGGCAGAGCCACAAATGAAATGTGTTAAATTATAACGTTTGTTTCGAAACTCATTATTCCTGGTATGCATGGCTTCAGAGACCATGCAAATTAGCGGTCATAAAAGCGGAATTGTCATAGGATTGTTGAATTGTATCAAAGTAAGGCAACTTCATTCACTTTTGATCAGTTAAACATCTGCCATGACATAGAATTGAACAATTATGAACATCAGTGGAACTAAGTAGAGGGAACTACAAATTCGCTCGGTAAGTTTTTCAAAAGAACCAAAATTTTGCACATAGCAGTGCATTATGTCGACTGCCGATAATCAGCATGATACAAATAACATGTTGCAATTTAACCTTTTTTCTTTAGAACATGATTTAAAAGTGAAGAATATATCTTAAAGTTCCGAAGTAGCAGTAAGTACTTCATAGACTTATGTTATAGTACATTGACGCATGATTTGTCCAAATATAACACTCAGAAGCAACGTATATCCAAATATAAACTACCCACGCAACAGATGGCGTAAGCTGAAATTCACTCTTTCTATACCCGGCAACGAGCTCGTAAAGTTTTACTGTTTATTTAAATTGTGTTCGTACAACGAGAAATAACACACAAGGCACACTATCAATTTACGCTAAAGAGGTAATTTTCCGTAGTCACGGTATCTCGCAGCTCATGCAACGCTTTATATTCGTTAAAGAAGATCGTGCAAATATAAGGAAATTTGACTGGGGAAACCCCCGTGTCTTCTAGGATAATTCACGCACCTATACGCAAATGTCTTACAGCCCTATCAACCTTTCATCTGGATATACAAATATACATTTTAGAAGCCGAGTTGTCAGATGTTTTTTGAATTGTGTAAGTGTTTTTATTGAATTCGAATAAGTTTGATATACCGTTTTTAAAACGACCAAACTTGACATGCAATTTGCAGTCATCTGTGTAATCAAAAATTCCTGCCGATTTTCCCGCTTAGCTTTGAGAAAGACTTTATTAATATGTGAGGGTAAATCAATTATGAATTTTGGAACTTCACTCGATGCAGGTAAACTCTAGAGGTTTAAAGAGTTTTAATTTCGAGTGCAATTATACACACTTCAAATTCAAGCTAGGAACAGTCAATATAAAAAGAAATCGACATACACTTTTTTATTTAAAGAACTGATAGTTTCTTCCAAGTTCCCATTTAGCGCCATGGACGTGGGATATTACTCCCGTTAAATTTTCAAAACGTTCGCAGTTTGTTTATATCATTAAGATTCAATCTTCAAGTTTTGGCAACAAAACTAACAGTGCGAGTCAGGTTATGATGATTTGATTTCTAGTCGTCTGACATCGTCTAAACGATTTTTCTTTCAATAAGTGCGGTCAGATTGAGAAAATATTCTAAATGTTTTTAATCATATCAAACCGACGCGCAAAAAGCTTAAACGACGCCGTATATCGTTTGTTTTGAGTCTCGTTATTCGTGGAATGCATGGCTTCAGTGACCATGCAAATTAAATAAAAGCAGACTTGTTATAGCAATGTTTAATTGTATTAAAGTTAAGCAACTTCATTCACTTTTGATCAGTTAATAGACCTTTGAGGTGCTTACGTCATGTCGGTCTCGAACAATGAATCGCAATGCAATCTGGGAAACAAGTGGGACAAAATTGTATAGATAGAAAACTATGTGACCTAAGCACTTCAGAAGGCTATTCTCTTGTTATGATTCAAAATTGTTCTTGTGTTAATAATAAGTGGTGAGACGTGCAAATTTGCTGCACACGTTTTTCAAAACGAACAAAATTTCGCAAATAGTAGCGGTTAATAAACTGCCGATAGTCAGCATGATACAAATAACAATATCAATTCAACTTTTTCGTTTAGAACATGATTGAAAAGTGAATGATATATCTTCAACTTCCTAAGTAACTGTAAGTACTTCATAAAGCTATAAAAATCTATTATAGTACATCTGACGATGATATATTCAGAGATAACACTCAGAAGCAATGCCAAAGAAATCGAAATATCAACCACCCACGCAATAGATGGCGTAAGCTGAAATTCAGTCTTTCAAACCAAGGCATGATATTATAACCGAAAGGGAAGTTCCTAATGCTATCAGATTGCCAGGACATTCTCAATCCTTTTTATCCCAGCGAGGCAGAACCACAAATGAAATGTGTAAACGTTTGTTTCGAAACTCCGTTATTCCTGGAAAGCATGGCTTCAGTGACCATGCAAATTAGCCGTCATAAAAGCGGAATTGTCATAGGATTGTTGAATTGTATCAAAGTAAGGCAACTTCATTCACTTTTGATCAGTTAAACATCTGCCATGACTTAGAATCGAACAATTATGAACATCAGTTGAACTAAGTAGAGGGAACTACAAATTCGCTCGGTAAGTTTTTCAAACGAACCAAAATTTTGCACATAGCAGTGCATTATGTCGACTACCGATAATCAGCATGATACAAATAACATGTTGCAATTTAACCTTTTTTCTTTAGAACATGATTTAAAAGTGAAGAATATATCTTAAAGTTCCGAAGTAGCAGTAAGTACTTGATAGACTTATGTTATAGTACATTGACGCATGATTTGTTCAAATAGTGAACATGCACAATTCAACGAGAACGAACGAGTAGCCTCATTAACCGAGCAACTCAGTTGTCTGTAATCGTTTAAACTCGCGTGGCTACTGGTTGAGACCTTAAATATGAATTTTCGACAAGCACTTAGACGAATGTGATAATTTTATTCCGTTCCAAGCCGATTAGTATAAACAATTCACCAACAAGGAAGAAATAAAACTTCAAACCCAAACAATTTTAAGCAATGCACTATTGAGAGTTGTGTATATAGCCCTTTGCTTGCTATGTAATAAGATGCTTTTAAAATATTCTGGAAACAGCTTTGACTTTGCTACGGACAATGCCTCCTCGTCAAGTTGTAAGGTTAGGAAACAAAGAAAGGAGTATAATTTTAAGGCCGCAAGGGCTACCAATTTGTTGAAACTCTCAATTAACAAGGCGGATGATTGCAACAAAGGGTTTATCTCATCGATCAATATTATGTAGTTTTCTTCCGATATTTCAATACTTGCTCTAATCGCAGGTAAATTGAATAAAACTGCCAACAAGTCATCAAGTGCAAAGCAATCAAGGTTGCTTCTAAGTAATCCATCTCAGAAAACAATTGTGTTGTTTTAAAAACACTAAAACCGTATGAATGTATATAAGGATAAATCCCCAAAGAAAACAAAGCTATTCAAAAATTAAAATCTTTGTAATTATGAATTTATAAAGTGTACAAGCAGTTTGGTACAAATGTGTTTTGTTTTATATAGTCGTTCGTTCTCGTTGAATTGTGCATGTTCACTACTATAACACTCAGAAGCAACGTAATATCAAAATATAAACCACCCACGCAACAGATGGCGTAAGCTGAAATTCACTCTTTCTATACCCGGCAATGAGCTCGTAAAGTTTTACTGTTTATTTAAATTGTGTTCGCGCAATGAGAAATAACACACAAGGCACACTATCAATTTAGTGTGCGGTATCTCGCAGCTCATGCAACGCTTTATATTCGTTAAAGAAGATCGTGCAAATAAGGAAATTTGACTGGGGAAACCCCCGTGTCTTCTAGGATAATTCAGGCACCTATACGCAAATGTCTTGCAGCCCTATCAACCTTTCATCTGGATATACAAATACACATTTTAGAAGCCGAGTTGTCATATGTTTCTTGAATTGTGTAAGTGTTTTTATTGAATTTGAATAAGTTTGATATACCGCTTTAAGGCGCTTTTAAAACGACCAAACTTGGCATGCAATTTGCAGTCATCTGTGTAATCAAAAATTCCTGCAGATTTCCCCGCTTAGCTTTGAGAAAG